TTGCCGTATGCGGGCCTCTCACTGCTGTGGCCTCTCCCGTTGCGGAGCACAGCCTCCAGACGCGCAGGCTCAGCGGGGCCATGGCTCACGCCCAGCCGCTCCGCGGCATGTGAGATCTTCCCAGACCGGGGAACGAACCTGTATCCCCTGCATCAGCAGGCAGACTCTCAACCACTGCGCCACCAGGGAAGCCCCTCTACTATCTTTTGAAATCAGACTTATTTTGTGCAGGTCTCCCAAAGAGGCGATTTCCCCCCACTCTGTATAAAATTTAGTTGCTTTAACATAAGATAAAGTCAAGTGATTGTCTAACAACAAATATGCCACTGGAAAACTGCTAGGCAAACTATATAGTCAGTACTAAAAAATGTAAAAACTAGGCATTAGGAAAGAGTTACAGCAATACATATATGAGCATAAGAAAAATAAAGGAAATGCTAACAGGAAAAAGAATAAATCACATTTAAGCACAGTATTAGCATTATATAAAATACACCAACGCATGTAAATAATAATATTAAGGCACAGTTTTAAAAACCTGACATTTTTGTATTCCCATGTAACAATCTTACATTTAAGTAATCCTTCAAACGATACTTTATGTATGTAATATTTAGGTAATCTCTTATAACAATTATTTTAAAATAATATATGTCATAATCATAAGTGATACTGGGGATAAGCAACAAGCCAAATTAGTATGTGGCAAGTAAGCAGCAACAAATAAACAGTTTCCTTGTTTTCTTTACAAACTCTAGAAAAAAAAGGGGTACTCACACATACTTCCAATACACAAAAAGAAACATCAGATAAAGATGTTTTACAACTGAAAAGTAGTTGAGAACTACTTCTGAGAAGTAACCATATGTAATCCTTTTAGGAAATGACAGCAGAAAGAGTAAGAAAATTAATTCTTTCTATATTCCTGACAATGCTTCAGAAATTTCTGATCAAATCTATGCTATCACTGCAGATTGATATTTACTAGTTACATAGTTACTAATTACAATTACGTTGTTTAGAATACTTAAGCACGCTTAAGGTATATCAAAGAAATAAGGAAATAGCCTCTATTCTCAAGCAGTTTATATTTTACTAATTTGTTATTACAAAAAATTTTTTAAAGCTTTAAAAATGCTGCATCTATATATCTCCTTTCTTTTTCATACATATCTGCTTTCTCATTTTGACAATAAGAAATACCTATTTGTTTAAAAAAAAAAAAAGTGGACTTCCCTGGTGGTGCAGTGGTTAAGAATCTACCTGTCAATGCTGGGGACACTGGTTCGATCCCTGGTCCAGGAAGATCCCACATGCTGCAGAGCAACTAAGCCTGTGTGCCACAACTACTGAGCCCACGTGCCACAACTACTGAAGCCCACATGCCTAGATCCCATGCTCTGCAACAAAGAGATGCCACTGCAATGAGAAGCCCACACACCCCAACGAAGAGTAGCCCCCGTGTGCCACAGCTAGAGAAAGCCTGCATGCAAGCCCAGGTTTACCTGTACCTCTAACCAAATGACTAGAAATCAGAGGTTCCCACAACCCCCATCCCTTCCTTGGGCTCAATTAATTTGCTAGACTGGCTCACAGAACTCAGAGAAACATTTTCTTACTACTGCTAGATCACTGGTTTATTATAAAAGTATATAACTCAGGAACAGCCAGATGGAAGAAATGCATAGGACAAGGAAAGGACTCAGAGCTTCCATGCCCTCTATGAGCTTGCTACTCTCTGCAAATCTCTACATGATCACTAAACCAGAAGCTCTCTGAACTGTGTCCTTTTGGGGTTTTATGGAGGCTTCATTACATAGGCATGATTGATTAACTAAATCATAGGCCACTGGTGATTGAAGTCAATCTCCAGCCCCTCTCCCCTCTGAAAAGTTCCAACCCTCTAATCACATGGTTGGCTCTGATGGCAACCAGCTCCCATTCTTAGGTGAGTTCCAAAAGTTGCCTCATTAACATAACAAAAGACACCTTTGTTACTTCCATGCTAAGGAAATTTCAAGGGTTTTAGGAGCTCTGTGCCAGAAATATGGACAAACACCAAATACATATTTCCCATTAGAAATCACAATATCACACCTGTGTATCACTCTCATTAAACTATAGAAAAGGTTATACTGGGACTTCACTGGTGGCACAGTGGTTAAGAATCCACCTGCCAATACAGGGGACACCGGTTCGATCCCTGGTCCAGGAAGATCCCACATGCAACGAAGCAACTAAGCCCGTGAGCCACAATTACCGAGCCCACGTGCCGCAACTACTGAAGCCCGTACACTCTAGGGCTCGTATGCCACGACTACTGAGCCCGCGTGCTCCAACTACTGAAGCCTACACACCTAGAGCCCGTGCTCTGCAACAAGAGAAGCCACCGCAATGAGAAGCCCGCGCACTGCAACGAAGAGTAGCCCCTGCTCGCCGCAACTAGAGAGCCCGTGTGCAGCAACAAAGACCCAATGCAGCCAAAAAAACAAACAAAAATTATATTAAAAGAAAACAGGAAGCATTCTATGACTGTTACTAAATAGCGTAAGTTAGCATCTCTCTCTCCTTTCGTTTTTTTTCTTCTCGACCTCCTCCAGGAGATATAACTATGCTAATACATACCAACAAGACCTGAATCTCAGATTTCTAAATATAACTGCTGGAGGCTACATATACATCATTATCTTCTCCTATCCCTAAAGTATCTCCTCTGATATCCAGTCACCCAAACTAGAAATAAAGCAGTCATTCTTCATATACTGGTCTAATTCCTACTCATCCTTTAAGATTCAACTCAGGAATGACTAATTCTAGAACAAGCTATTCCAATTTCCACCCCTGCCTGGGATGGCTGCTGTTCCTTTGTGTTACCAAAGCACATGATCCTATCAGAATATTTAACACACTGTATTCTCTATTGAAATATTTGCCTGCCTCTGTCACCTAAACAGCAACTTCGGTGACAGAGCATGTATAATACAATTTACTAAATTATGTAATGAATTATAATGGTGTAGGCTTGACCAAAGGACAAAATATACTTTGGACTTCTGAAGACACAATGCATATCCAAATAATCCCGTAAGGAAGGTTTTTCTTTAAAGTATAGTCTGTGAACTACTTATCAGAATCACTTTGAGACTTTGCTAAAAGATGGAGATTCAGGACCCCACTCTAGACCTATTTTAATAATTCTTAGTGTTTATCATGTATATGTGACATCATTAAGAATTACTATCTATTTACATCCTATAGGGCAGTGCAAGGGGCCCTCTAGTAGGCCGTACATAAATTTTAATTTTATCTTATTCATTTAACAATCCAATGAGGTTGATAATATTTATAGGTGAAGAATATGAGGCTCAGAAATGCTGAGTAACTTATTAAAGGTCAAACTGGTAGTAAATGCTGAAATTCAAACCTAGGACTGTCTCAAATGCTGAATTAACAATATTCCTGGAAAATCTTAAAATTTGGGAACCATGGTCATAGGAACATGCTAGAGGATAAAATAGCAAGCAGAGCTGAAGCTATGGCAAATAAGTGGTCCTCCACTAGAACCAAGGTGTGGAAACTCAAAACCTGAAGTCCAAAGAGAAAGCAAATCTACACAGCACGTATTTCAATACCATTGCTCACCCTCTCACTATACCATCACGTATACTCGCATTAATCTACGGTATGTGTCTATTCATATTCCTTGCTCAAAGTACTTTTGCTAAGATTTTTTAGGAATGGAATTGAAACAAAAGGGGAAAAAATATCAGATCTCCACTCCTACTAACTCTGTTACTGAGGAAAAAAGGAATGTGGATATTAAAGGATATGTATAACTAATAACAATAGCCTTTGGGGAGAAGGACAAAATGATACAGATGTTCTGGGAAACAGCAAAACTATTCTAACGGTGGTTGTTTTCCTGAGCATTTAAAGGGTATTACAAATCCTACTTTACACATGAGAACATAGAGATAAAGTTAAATAATGTGCTCAGAATACACAATGCTAATGTAAGCTAAGAGAGAAATTACTGTGAAACCATTTACCAAAGAAAATGAACTAAAAAAATACGAAGAGTAGAAATTTTCCCCTCTGGAATAGAGTTCTTTTAGCCATTTGGTGGCCCATTTCTTAAATATCCTCAGAATAACCTCCCCTCCAAAAAGGTGTCATTACCATGCTCTTTCCAGTGCAAGACCAGTCCTCATCTCCACTTTCCTGCTTCCTACAATCAATTCATCCTGAGATGTTTTCCTTACAACATGTTTTACATATACATTTTGGATTTGGAAACTCTTAGATATTTCTGTTCTGACAAATAGTAGGAATTCATGTTAGTACCGTTTCTCAAACTCAGGCTCAAGTCTTATTTTTCTCAGACCAAAAAATACCACTTGATCGTTCATTCTCAAGGTCCACATTTCTTGAGCAGTACTCAGTCTGTACTGGTTCTTGCAAACAATGATGAAATGTATAGAAAGAGCACTATTGAGGGTCTATGAGATCTGGACTCTACTTGCAGCACAGCCACTATAACCAGCTGTGAAACACTGGATGAGAAACTTCATCTCTTTAAAATTCAATCCTTACCTGTAAAATGAAGTGGTTAAACCAATTCTCTCTGCGTTTTTTTCAAGCTATTTCATTCTATGATCAATTATATTAGTAGATGCCCAGCAGGATACAGTATTCTGGAACTAGAATTCTAAATGCCAAAGAAGTAAACGAAACCTTTAAATGTTCTCAGCAAACCATCCTGTTCAGAAGTGCAAAGAGCGAAGTATTCTGGGCACCTGGCACAAGCACATCCCTAGGCCCAATGGAAGAGTCCACTGCTTCCTTCCCTAAACTGGCTTCCTCCCACCTGTTCCTGATTACTCCTCTTTTTTTTTTTTTTTTCGGGTTCACAGGCCTAGCCACTCCGCGGCACGTGGGATCTTCCCGGACCGGGGCATGAACCCGTGTCTCCTGCATCGGCAGGCGGACTCTCAACCAGTGTCACAAGGGAAACCTGACTCCTCTTTTAAGATCCACTTAGAGACCCTATATCCCTACTAGACTGAAAAAAATACATACTCCATGTTCTCAGATGACTTCGTATATACATCTATTATAGTCCTTATCCCTTATCACATATTTAAATAATTATCTTTCTAGAACAAAGTTAGACATAAATAACTGAAATGATTTTCTTTCTCTTATTCATCTCTGTAAGCCTGGTCGCAAGCATAGTGTTTGTCATATATGTGTAATACTATAGAAATGCAATTTATTTAAATCCTAAAGGGCAGTCTAGGGCCATGTATCTATATCTATATAGGATATCTGTATCTATCTCCTCTTAATAATCCTGTGAGGTTGTTAAACATGTAGAGATGAGAAAAATGAGTCTCAAAAATACTGAATACTAAAGGTCTCACTGGTAGTAAATGGTAAAGATGAAATTAAACAGAAACTGTCTCATAAAATGCTAAATAAATGAATGGATGAATTTTTCCTTCCTGATATTGTCAACAATTGGTTTTCTCTATAAAATAAAGAGTCTAGGGCTTCCCTGGTGGCGCAGTGCTTGAGAGTCCGCCTGCCGATGCAGGAGACGCGGGTTCGTGCCCCGTTTCGGGAAGATCCCACATGCCGCGGAGCGGCTGGGCCCGTGAGCCATGGCCACTGAGCCTGCGCGTCCGTAGCCTGTGCTCCGCAAATGGGAGAGGCCACAACAGTGAGAGGCCCGCATAACGCAAGGGAAAAAAAAAAAAAAAAAAAAAAAATAAAGAGTCTAAGAATAGAAGGAAGACAAAAGCCTAAATAGGAATTACCTTATCTATAAATGCATATATGCCAACATAACTATTGTTGATTTACCTACTAATACATGGGAGAAGAAAATACACACACACACACAACACACAAAAGCATTTAGTTTACCTAATGAATGTCTACTAAATACAAAGCATTTTATCTTGCTCAATTCCTAGGATCAATCTCCCTGGCTTAGTTCTCTAGTGTTTTTCCTGGAATTTGGCTGATGAGTGGTAAGTAAAGAGAACTAAATTGACCACAGATATATTCCTAGGTAATTCAGAGCTCACAGTATTGTTAAACTCACACAAATAAAATAATCTATGTAAAGAAGGCTTTAATGAAATGTAAGTTTCTATAAGCAAAGCTAGGAGAACAAATATAAAAGTATAATTTACTAACCACACAAACATCTGCCTGTTTGCACGAACAGGTTGGACTGATTAACAACTCCAACTGAGACCGCAGTTTTTCATCATCACCAAGGACTTGGTTAAATTTCTTCACAAAATCTTGTGCTTTCCCAGGGTCAGGCAAATTCTCTATAAAATTCAAAGAGAATCAATACTACAAAAGAAAAACCACTAAACTAAAAGCAAGCTGTCTTAAAAAATAATGCTGAGGCACCAAAAGATAATCAGTCAATCTGGCTCTTAGAAATAAAATTATTAAGAAAAGGATTACTTTTTCTTACTTAGTATTAAATTGATAGTCCCCCTGGGTAAATTATTTGAGGTCAACTATATATCTACGGAGTGAATAAACATACTCACTTGCTATGGTCATCAGTTTTCCAAACATGGCAGAACAGTTAGCCTCAGACTGAAATTTAAAACAAAAACAAAAGCTGTCACATGTGCTACCAAATTTCGGTAAGAAAACTATACTCAGTATTTTACATTTTTTTAAGTTAAGAAAAAATCCATCACAATACACCCACTAGAAAATGGCTTACCATATCTACACACTATGTTGATGACAAAGAACTATGAAGTACCCACAACTATTAAGTTAGCACAAATAGAATGAAAGGAGATGCCAGCAGGAAGTTATTTAAAATTTTTTAAGAGTATATAACTTTCATAGGAAAATTATCTTGCCAGAAGACTGAACAGAGAAGATAATGAAAACAATTATCATATCAAAATTACTGTGAAACCATACACCAAAGAAAATTAACTAAAAATGTGGAGAGCAGAAAAATTTTCTTTCTGAATAGAGTTCTATTAGCTATTTTGTGGCCCATTACTTAATATATCACCTCCCTTCCTACTGCCCTTTCCTCCATTACAACAAGAGTATTATTTTATTATTGAATCTGCATGGTCCCATGAACCACCTGCTTTTGTTAAAGTTTTGTTGGGTCACGGTCATACCCATTCATTTATATACTATCTCTGACTGTTTCTGCACCACAAAGGCAGAGTTAAGCAGTCACATGGAGACTGTATGGCTGGCAAAGCCTTAATTTTTACTATCTGGTCATTTACAAAAAAAAGTTCGACAACCCTTGCTTGGGCCACTGAGGGGGTCTCTGTGTATGGTTCCCTGGCTCAGAACACCTATTCTAGCAAATATGTTTAGAAGTATATTAAGAGATTATTCAGATTTCTTTTCTCCACCTTCCAGAAAATGTTGGGCAGTATTTCTTTGTTAATTTGACTTTGGCATATTCAAAGGATTGATACCTGATTTGATACTGACTCTACAATAAAGGACCAAATCACAGAGCAAAAAACATTTATGACTTCTAATTTTATATTAAGGTTTAATTCTAATGATTTGATAAACTATAACTTCTTAGTGTCTAAATACTTGATAATCTGGAAAACACCATTTCTTTGCTCATGCTGAAAAATAAAATTTTGTTATATTCATGTGAAATGCAAATTTAGCTTGGATAATCACAGAAATTGTTTAACTGACATGTGGAAAATAAAACACATGAAATACTTTTTTGCTTGCTTCATTATATATGACTACAGAAAAATTAACAATGACTAAAACTGAATTTAAATAAAACATCATGAACCCACCGTAGGCTGCTTGTGCAAATCCAATAGTTCTCGTACATGACTTCTAAGCATGTTCTGACACTTCCACATTTCATTGAGAGCCCTGTAAATAAAGTTATAAATATGAAAAAAATACATAATATAACAATACTGGTAACTACTCAACCTTACTACTTTTCTTACACCATTCTTCTACATCTACCTAAAATTTTAAGCACCAGAAAATTTACTTATTAGGATTAACAGAGTTTAGTTTAAATTACTTAATATAAGGCTTCTTATGAGAGAAAATATTTGAGAAGTTTCTAAGGATGAACAGGATCGTGCCAGGTAAACTGAAGGAACTGAGACATTCTAAGCAGAGGAAGCCAGAATGTTCTGCTACAAAGAGAGATAAAATGTCATCAAAGCCCATGGCACATACAGGAAAGTGAAAACAAAATTATAGGCTTGGAGCACAGAATGTGATTGGGGGAGCATAAGGAAGCTGGAACATACAATAGAAAAGGATCAGATCATGAAGGCCTTTTTATGCCAGGCTAAGGGGGTAAGCATGAAGTGATGTAGACTATTTCAAAAAATGAATTTCTTAGAAATGATGTGGATTCAAAATGCTAAATTAAACCGAGTTTCTTTATTCTAGACTCTTTTCTCTCCACGAAAGCAGATTTTCTTCTCTCACAAACCCACTCTGTAATTTCAGGTGCCCAAAAGACCTCTGGGAAGTTAGTCTATCTCTGAGTACCCTTTGTCAAATATTTTGAAATATAAACAGAGATCAAGACCTTAGGCCAGGGATTTACACCTACAGTGAACATTATGAACCACTTTCAAATCCTTTTTTAAAATGATGGTTAATGTCTCCTAATAGAATACACCAAGGATACGTTACTCTGTGGACTTTCTGCTGAAAATGCATAATCTTGATCCAATGATGAGGCAACACTGGATGAATCCAAACTGAGAGAAGATTCTACAAAATAACTGGCCTAGGCAATACTCTTCTGGAAAATGTCAAAGTCATAAAAGACAAAGACAGACTGAAGAATGGTTCCAAATTTAAAAAGACTAGAGACATGATAATTAAACATGCAATGTGCAATCCTAGAAAGGGAAAAAAACATCCATAAAGGACATTATTTGATGATTGAAGAAATCTGAATACACACTGGATTAGACAATATTTTATCAATGTTAAATCTCCTGATTTTCATAAAGGCACTCTAGTTATATAAAAGAGTATCCTTGTTCTTAGGGAATGCACACTGAAGTATTAGAGGTAAAGGGATCCAATGTCTGCAAATTACTATCAGTGGATCAGAAGAAAATACATATATAAAGTATGTGCAAATGGCAAATGATAAAAAGCAAATGGTCAAAAATTATGAATCTGGCTAAAGAGGATATCACAAAGCTTTGTTTTATTCTCACAACTTTTCTGTAAATTTGAAATTATAAGAAATTAAAGGATATATATATATATATATGTAAATGGAATAGCTGAAGTTCTTATTCAGAAAAATCGGAATTCTCAATGACAGGAGTTATTTAGTTTTTTAAAAGCTTTATTAAAGTGGAATGTCCACACATCCTAGGTAGCCTGGGATAGTTAAAGTTTATGCCAGTTGTCTGAACAAAATTATTACTAGTGCCTCCTTTCAATCTCAAAAATATCTCAGTTTGGACAATCAATCACATAGTTATTCTACATAGAAGTGATTTGGACACGCTCTCCTGACAAAGAACCAGTTCTTAGCTCTTAGGCTTAGTATGGTAAAGCTCCAATAGTATGATTCAGACCCCAGTCAACAGGTGAACAAAAGATAATTTTGACACGGGGACTTCTTTGAATCCCTGAAACCATATTACTGGCTCAGTTGCCAAATATGCCTATGCATATAGGAATATTTTTGCTTTTAACTTAACTGGACTTATATAATAAAAATTTTCTCTATAAATATTTATCTGAGGTTCTTGATTCAACCAGAAGAAGCAACAACCCTATCAACAACAATTAATTAAATAAGATGAAGTAATTTTATAAAATCTTCAAGAAATACTCCAATCATTTAAAAAGTAACTTACTTGACAGCATTTGGATCCAAACTAGCATATAAATAATACAAGCATTTCATTCTCTCTTCTGTTTCCAGGTTGTGGGGGACAAGATACTGAGCAAAGATTTTCTCTACCAACAGTCTACAAGGCAAACAAACAAAAAACCCAAGTAACAAAATTATTCTATTTGTTAGAAGCCACAGCCATTTCATATTTTATCCACCTCATGCAAAGATACCACACCAATGATGATATTTATCTGTGAAAATACAATGGAAAAGATCAGTATGTGATCAATGCTTTTCCTTGCAAGTATGGCTATTTTAAAATTTAGAGCTACGGTTGCTATTTGTGACTTTACGTTTTATCAGTATGAAACATTTGTTCTAAAAGGGTTATATATTATTCCTAAGCACAGGGTGCTAGGCTGTTCTACCTGTTTTCTTCATCAGTCTAGAGCTATAGCAAATTACTTAACATTACACATAAAGCTATGATCTCAAAAATAATTAATTCTCAAAAAAAAAATTTCCTTTGATTAGTTTGGCTCCTTTCCCATGTTGTCATTTAGTAAAATCAGGGGGCTCTTCCTTCATCTTCCTGAAAATTCAGCTTTTCTTATACACATTTGTCTCCTTGGCTTTAATTTAAATTTCCACATTCTAAATTCCTCACCAATATTAAAATATCCTTCTTGCTAAGCTTATAATTATTATTCAACATCACTGGAATAAGAAAATTTAAGGGCTCTTCATTAGTCAATGAAATACATAATCGATCACGTCAAAGTAGTCAGTCTAACTCAATAAAACATTGCAAAGTATTTTGCAAAAACCAAAATCATTACTATATTCCAACAGAGAATTGTAAGTAACATTCAGAAAATGAAAACAATGTAAGTTCTCATCTCAAGAGAAGAATTTTCTAACCATGTACGGGGACGAATGTTAAACAGACACTGTGGTGATCATTAGGCAATATATACAAATATAGAATCATTATGTCATACACTTGAAATTTAATGTAATGCTGTATGTCACTTATACCTCAATAAAAAAATACAGTAATACCTCTATTGGTACTTACAGTGTTGTAAAAAGGAAAAAATAACAGTTATTAAATAGTGCTACTCTGCCAGGCAGTGAGCTAGGGGGCATTACATTCATTATTTTATTTAATCCATAAGACAATTCTGTAAGAAAGTCTTATTATTACTCCTTTTTAGATAAAATCAAGTACACAGAAGTTAAATCAGCTGTGCATGGGCACAGATTTAATAACAGGCAGAATGAACATTTGGTCTCTGGTGTGAGTCCAAATCTCATGCATATTTCACTATTATTATGCTAACTCACAGTCTTGGCTGGAGTCTTATCTAAACATGGTATGTCTAAATATGTAGAAAGTGGTTTCTAAACTTAGAGAAACTAATTATTATGAAAAAATTAAATAGAAATATTTAAAAATTAAAAGCACTTTTATATTCAACCATTTTACCAACATATTAGACTCACTTGTCATCGATGCTATTCTGATAATATATATGCAAAAGTTTGTCCTTTATCCAGCTGACTTTCTCTGCAGCTTCCTTTCCTGCTTCACCATGAAGACAGTATTTCTTATAAAGCTGAGCCAGACCCATCATAGCCTCTTTTCTTACTCGCCACTAGAAAGTATAAAGTTTATTGGATAAGCTAGATACCAAACTTTAGTATACAAATCTGCAAAAATTACCATTTCTTCACTAGGTTGCACAATGAGATTTATGTGTGCACAGATTAAGCACAATATTAATTTTCAAAAAAGGCAGACAAATCACTTAACCAACAATTTTGATTATGTTCCTATTTAGAAATCATCCAGTGCAAATACTGCTAAATCACCTACCAATTTTTTATTTCCCTCAAAGCCAAGCAATAGTAAATCTTACAAAAGATTTCATTAGATTCTGTCTAAAAAAAAATTTGGCCAAGTTTTAGAAGTGATTAAAAAATAAAAGAGAAAGCATAAAATTCACTCTGCAAACAAAAGCCCTATCGTCTGGAATGTTTTGTCCTAGTTACATCCCTTTTGATATTAACTCAGAATAAGAAGAGCAAAAGTTAGTATCAAGATTTTAGAATTACAAAGTTGGAAAGCACCTTAGTGATCATCTTAAGTGAACTTCCTTACTCTGTAGATTAAAAGGGTAAATTATTTACCTAGTCACATCCTAGTCTGTGAAAGATTCTTTGGGACTTAAAGAGACTGGAATGGTTTATGAGGAGGAAAGAAAGGTGGTGAGAGAAGAGTGGACAGAAAAGTAGACTATAAAAATCTAGAGTTAGAACAATAGTACAATTTAATAATAATCACAAGTTTTTTGTCTCAATAACAAATCAGAGTATACTTATCTTTGGCTTATTTTTTTAAAAATATGTTTATTTTGTGGCTGCATTGGGTCTTCCTTGCTGCACGTGGGCTTTCCCTAGTTGTGGCAAGCGGGGGCTACTCTTGGTTGTGGTGCGTGGGCTCAGTAGTTGTGGCTCGCAGGCTCTAGAGCGCAGCCTAAATAGTTGTGGCGCACACGCTTAATTGCTCCGCGGCATGTGGGATCTTCCCAGACCAGGGCTCGAACCCGTGTCCCCTGCACTGGCAGGCAGATTCTCAACCACTGTGCCACCAGGGGAGTCCCATCTTTGGCTTGTTTAAGTTAATACTTTCTTATAATTTTTTAGTATAATTTTCTCATTTGTATGCTATTTGGTAGATGAAATGAAATTCTGTTCCCATATAACAGGTAACAGATGTCTTTTGACATGTCTAACATGAAACTAAAGAATGTAAGCCATGAAATCAAAGATTTAAGTCCTGTCCCCATATTTTATAGAAAACAAAATTCAGAAAGGCTATACTCAAGGTCATTTAATTCATTACACCAAAAAACAGTTCCTAAAATGTACAGAAGGTGTTATTTGAATTATTAGACCATATCATACAGTCTCAGCAAGAATCATTTATTCAACTCTTCCTGAAACTATAAACAAACACTGACAGAAGTAGGAGTGAACTGTTTCTAAAAGGAGGAAGTAACACAAACGGCAATACCTGAAATCTGGTTTGGGAGTACGGGGTGGGGGAGAGGGGGTAGTTAACAACTAACCAGTAGGGAGTGTCATTTCATTTAAATTAAAGCCAAGGGGAAAAAACTTCTCAGAGTTAGAATTACTGACACAGTTGAACAAGTTAAACGGTGTCTACTTTATGTATCTGTTTCCTACGACTATTTCAAAAGAACTTAAAGAATGCATCTTGCTCCTAAGTGTCTATCGACAGATGAATGGATAAAGAAGATGTGGCACATATATACAATGGAATATTACTCAGCCATAAGAAGAAATGAAACTGAGTTATCTGTAGTGAGGTGGATGGACCTAGAGTCTGTCCTACAGAGTGAAGTAAGTCAGAAAGAGAAAAACAAATACCGTATGCTAGCACATTATATATGGAATCTAAAAAAAAAAAAAAAAAAGGTTCTGAAGAACCTAGGGGCAGGACAGGAATAAAGACAGAGAGACATAGAGAATGGACTTGAGGACACAGGGAGGGGGAAGGGTAAGCTGGGACAAAGTGAGCGAGTGGCATGGACATATATACGCTACCAAATGTAAAACAAAGAGCTAGTGGGGAGCAGCCGCATAGCACAGAGAGATCAGCTCAGTGCTCTGTCTCCACCTAGAGGCGTGGGATAGGGAGGATGGCGGGGAGACGCAAGACAGAGGTGATATGGGGATATATGTATATATATAGCTGATTCACTTTGTTATACAGCAGAAACTAACACAACAATGTAAAGCAATTATACGCCAATAAAGATGTTAAAAAAAATGCATCTTGCTATATCTCTATAGCAAAATATTGCTTTTCTACCCTGAAATTATAGCTAAATTACATTGGTTTCAAGAGGGTGGCAGATTTTCAACTATGCTTCAAATAAAATACCACACTGCAAAGGCAACCTTTGTTGAAGATGTTAATAAGTAACACATTTAATCAGCCTGCCTTGCCTGTGTATCTCTTACTCATGGTTGACACTTTCTTAGCAACTGCTACTACTGTTCTTAGTACTGCTTTTCTTCATCAACCCACGTTTTTAACTGCATCCACATGGAGGAAATTACACAAAAAGAATAGTAACTAAACATCATTTCGGCCCTTAGCTTAGCACAGCAATATGGAAACACCACTTTCATAGAAAGTATGATATTCTAAGACAGTTACTTTTGAAGATGCTAACTATAAAAGAAATAAATGCTGGTGATCAATCACTATTCTTCTGAAACTCATCATGTAAGTGTAAAGGTAAAATAAAACTTTAATTTAGCTGCTCTTTTTGTAAAGGTAGGCTAAAAAACCCATGCTTAAGATCTGAAAAGCTACAGAATCCAATGTATTCATTTGTAAAGATAATTAAAAGATACACAGGAGGGCTTCCCTGGTGGCGCAGTGCTTGAGAGTCCGCCTGCCGATGCAGGAGACGCGGGTTCGTGCCCCGTTTCGGGAGGATCCCGCGTGCCGCGGAGCGGCTGGGCCCGTGAGCCATGGCCGCTGGGCCTGCGCGTCCGGAGCCTGTGCTCCGCAAATGGGAGAGGCCGCAACAGTAAGAGGCCCGCATAACGCAAGGAAAAAAAAAAAAAAAAAAAGATACACAGGAAACATACAAATTGTTAGCTTTTAATTTGGTATTGTATTAGTTTGACTTTCACACAGAAAAACTTTAAATAGAAAATAATTTCTATTGTATTTTGCTAACAATGTAAACACAGTAAATTATAAAATAAAATTCCTCAGATTTTACCCGTTTGTCCAGTGTTCTTTCTCTTACAAAGCCAAGTAGCTGATCATTTACTAAGGCAAGGTCTCTTTTGGCAGCTGTTATTATAGTAACAATGACATCATGACGAATAGCTTCTTCTGGATCATGTGACCTAACTTTCAAGTATTCTGAAATAGGAGAAAAAATTAAGCTAAATGTTAGCTATAATATTCATTATGTTCAGAATGACAAAAAAAACCTAATGCTTTTAAGTTTATGTCCATACTGGAACAATGATTGTAAAATGTGGCACAAATTAAAATTATTTAATTTTTGACGTGGCAATACCCTACATAATAACAAAATAAACTATACCACACTATTTATTACTGTAAAGTCACATCTTAATAAAATATTTTATATCAACTATTCTGGAAAAGCCAAATTGGCAACTGAAATCAAATCAGCACCTGATTTAATACAATTTAGAATTTAAGCTAACGATACATATTAAAAGACTTAAAATATAGTAAAAATGCTTATAGCAAGTTTACTGATAGGTATATATCTTCACATTACGCAACATAAAATAACATTCTGTGACCTCTAAAAAAAATCCTAAATAACTACGATACAAAGTTATTTCCTCTTTTTTGGTAAACAATATTTTGATAGCAGTTATTTATTTGTTACAACCAAGTAAGTAGGTTTAAATGCTCTACTTCAAGTGAAGAATGCGAAATTCTAGTCTGCTTCAGAAGAAATCATTTTCCCACCTATTATTAGATATGTTACCATATTTAATTATCACACAGATATAATGATTTGTGCTCAAACCCAGAGTCATAAGGAAGAGTCTACTTCCTCAAACTATGATTTCCAGAAAATTCCAAAGGATTACAATGTGAAGATTTCAAATGTAATTTTATTGTATAAACATGAAATCCCTTACTAGTAGTCCATGACTGATAGAGACCTGAAAGAGTGCCAGAGTGAAACCTATTCAGAAACCGAAGTTAAAGTCAAAGGCCACAACTAAAATGTATTTGTGTGATTACTCTCATACTTCAATAAACCAGCTACCTTACCTGTGAGATCCTTTGCTAAATCTGGGTGATTCATTAAACAGTGACTCGCAAATTTTACACTTTCTAATCTCACAGGAACGTGAATGTCATTGAATCTACATAGAAAAAGATTGGCAATATTAGTTTTAAGGCAAAATAACTATTTTCAAATAAGGTATATCAACGCTACGTAAATACCTATAAACAACAGTTACTGATTATAAGATATGTTGGTTTATTAAAATGACAGTTAACTTGTACTGAAGGAAGAATATAAAGTAAAAAGACACATAATTTCACAAGAATATTTTTTACAACAGGATTTTTTCACCATGCTAAAACAAAAACGGTATAAACACATCCCCCAACCCAAACTACCTTCACTGGAGAACCAAAAATTGGAGCTTAAAATTATGCTACAAAACAAACAGAAAAATAAATATTCAAAATGCACAAAATCTATTTGAAAGAACAGGAGGAAAATACTAGAGGAATGTGAGGTAGAAAGCAAATCATATAAGAGGCAGTCCCAGAAATTCAAAGATAAGTACATAAAATACATGTGCCATATTGCCTCATAGCAAAAAAGTTTCATATGGCTGGGACCAACCTGTAACTGCTATTTTAGGTCTAATATATTGTAAGAACTTAATAATATGAAACTCAGTATGTAGACTCAGAACTGCATATAATAAGGATAAGTTGAGAAACTCTCAAGTTTTAAATTTATTGGGCAATTTAAAAACATATTTATTAATTATGAATAATATGATTTTTTACCCCTTAATCTCCCTTACCCATTTCTTTTCTCTCCCAACCCTCTTCCCCTCTGGCAACCACCTGTTTGTTCTCCTTATCTATGACTCTGTTTCTGTTTTGTTCTGTTTGGTCATTTGTTTTGTTTTTTAAATTCCATATGTAAATGAAATCATACAGTATTTGTCTTTCTCTGTTTGACTTATTGCATTTAGCGTAATACCCTCTAGATCCGTCCATGTTATACCAAATGGCAAAATTTCATTCTTTTTTTATGGATGAGTAAAATTCCATTGTTTATGTATATACCACATCTACTTTATCCATTCATCTACTGACTGGGTACTTGGGTTGCTTCCATATCTTGGCTATTATAAACAATGCCACAATGAACATAGAGCTAGTGCATATATCTTTTCTGATTAGTGTTTTTATTTTCTTCAGATAAATAATAATTCTATTTTTATTTTTCATCATTATTATTTTTTTTGGCCACACCGTGTGGCTTGTGGGATTTTAGTTCCCCGACCAGGGATTGAACCCGGGCCCTTGGCAGTGAGAGCACGGAACCCTAACAACTGACTGCCAGAGAATTCCCAATAGTTCTATTTTCAAATGTTTGAGGAACCTCCATAGTATTTTACATAGTGGCTGTACCAATTTACATTGCCACCAACAGTACACAGTTCCTTTCTCCACATTCTTGCCAACGCTTGTTATTTGTTGTCTTTTTGATAAGTCTTCCTGACAGGTGTGAGGTGATATCTCACTGTGGTTTCGATTTGCATTTCCCTGATCATCAGTGATGTTGAGCATCTTTTCATGTGTCTGTTGACATCTGTATGTCTTCTATGGAAAAATGTGTATTCAGATCCTCTGCCCATTTTTAAATCAGGTTGACTTATGTATGAGTTCTCTGTATATTTAAGATATTAACCACTTATCACATATATCATTTGCAAATATCTTCTCCCATTCAGCAGGTGGCCTTTTCATTTTGTTGATCGTTTTCTTTGCTGTGCAAAAGCTTTTTAGTTTGATGTAGTCCCATGTGTTTATTTTTGCTTTTGTTTCCCTTGCCTGAGGAGACACATCCAAAAGCATACTACTAAAACCAATAAGTGTGTACTGTCTATGTTTTTTCCTAGAAGTTTAACACCTAGAAAACTTCTAGAAAAAAACATAGACAGTATACATTAGCATGTTTTGGATCATGATGTCTTCAGTCTCATGACTTATTTAAAAAATTTAAGACTCTGAACATTCTCAGATGTGAACTATTTATTCTAATGACATTATTTTAGCACACACATAAAAGATTAAAACCTGTTATGTGGGTAAATAAGACAAAGCTTTCTTCATAAAGAATTTGTCTTACAATTTATTATCCAATAAAGACAGCAACACAGGTACTAAAGACACAAACACATATCAAAGTTTTGATATGTGTGGGTTTAATCAAGTGCGCCACATTCACTAGCCTCCAAAATATAAAAGTTAGAATCCACAGAATTGTTACGTTCTCTTACCGTCCAAGAAAACACTGCCACAGAGGACGATTCTGTGTTGCCAAATCGGAATCTTTAGAACCAAACAATTTAGCTAAAAGTCGAACAACAGCTAATCGCTCTTCTCCATCATTGCTCTAAGGGAAAAAAGAAAATAAATAAAGCCTGAGGTTTATTCATCAGATTACAAAAAAATAACATGAAACATTTCTGAGAAGCTACAATTTCATTATTTCTGCTTAAAATGATAAGAACTTTAAAATATCATGTTCTCTCATTTACTGTGCAGAAGTTGACTTGATTCCATGCTAGATCATCAGGTTCTTTGCTCTTATTTCATACACTCCCAACTGTTAATTTATGCCTACTTCACTGCTTGTTTGCAATCTGTACAGATGCTGTAGAAACATGAAGATAATCATTCAATTCTAACATTCCGTAAGAGTCCTAGAAAAAATTCTATAAAGGGAAGAGCTACAAATAATTCATGCCCTAATCCTATAATTTGATCTCCAACATAAACCCATATCAATTAAGGTTTTGATACGTGAAGTTTTAATCAAGGTTCCTCTGCTGACTGGAGCACATGATACTGAATAATGTCATGATTCAGGAAAACTCATTTTAATAGAAGAGCATGAATATTAAGAGTACCTAAAAGGTCAGGTGAACTGAACACTACAAAAAATCAAAACTTGATGCCCCCCACCAGACCAGTGAACTGGCTTCGTCCCGTGCTCTGGACCTTGGGCCTCACTTCTCCAGATGGACCCCAAGTGCTCGTGCCCCACTGGCGGCTCCTGCAGCTGCACTGGCTCCTGCACCTGCAAAGCCTGCAGATGCACCTCCTGCAAGGAGAGCTGCTGCTCCTGCTGCCCCATGGGCTGCACCAAGTGTGCCCAGGACTGCGTCTGCAAAGGGGCCTCGGACAAGTGAAGCTGCTGCGCCTGATGTTGCGGGGAGCCTGCCCCGGGTATCAAGAGAGCAACCAGGACAAACCTGCATTTTAACGTTTTTCACACAACCGGACCTGACGCTACATTCCTTTTTCTATGAAATATGTGAGTTGTAATAAAAGTTGTTGACTTAAAACAAAACTTATTTTTTGATAGAGGCCTATTTTCTTATCCTGAATCAATATACTCTATAAAAAGTGTTCTAGTTTTCACTAGTGATGTCACGTCTTAAAATAAATTAAGTTATTCTGAAACCATATGGTGCATGAAACTTTTTAAAAGTCACATATTCACTAGGAAAATAAAGGCAATAATGAAAAGCAGTTGCTAATTTGTAAAGTGTTCAAATATAATGTGTGTCTAAAGCAATACCAGCAAGTCAATAAAAAAAATATTTATGGGAAAAGGCAGTAAGTGAAAAAAGAAAAATGACTACAGGATATCATCTTTTCCTTAAGAATGTCTCAACTCTCAGGGATAGGGGTTTTGTGGTTAAAATAGGCACACTTACTAAACAAAGATAAAAATGAAAATTCAAGCTTTAACACTTATAACTACAAAAATGATTTTCTTTCACAAAGTTTTTCTCAAGCAATGTGACTACAATGCAGATTAGTGCTGCCTTTTGGTAAGTAAGTCCAACTGAGTAGCCAACATGATTTATTTTTTTTAAAGAAAAATCAATCTATCCCTTAAATGTCAAACACTAGAAAAACTGGAAATTTTACTTTACTTGAAGGTGACTACTTTAGTAGCTTAGTGATTATTTCAAATGTGACATTTCACATCTATGTAATTTAACTACTGAAATAAAATTAAATGAAAACTCGCTCCCACCCCCTGCCTTTTTTTTTTTAATTTAAATTTTTGGCTGCACTGGGTCTTCGTTGCGCATGGGCTTTCTCTAGTTGCGGAGAGGGGAGGTTACTCTTCCTTGCGGTGCATGGGCTTCTCGTTGTGGTGGCTTCTCTTGTTGCAGAGCACAGGCTCTAGGCACATGGGCTTCAGTAGTTGTGGCTCGCGGGCTCTAGAGCACAGGCTCGGTAGCTGTGGCACACGGGCTTTGTTGCTCCGCGGCATCTTCCCGGACCAGGGCTTGAACCCGCATCCCCTGCACTGGCAGGCAGACTCTCAACCACTGCGCCACCAGGGAAGCCACCCCCTGCCTTTTTTGATTTTTAAATATGTTCTCTGAGTGAGGTTGGAATATGATGATAGTGCTGGTAATTTTTTTCTGGTGCAAAAATCATTTGGTGTCTCTGATGTACAGCTGTTATTAGTAATCTATACCAAAGTGAAAATTATCTCATTAAGATACTACCTAATACATTGTTTGAATACAAATATATATATATATAAAATGTTAATTAAAATAATGGGTAAAATGAGAAAGTCTGCATTAGTAATTTACCAGTCTTCTGAAAGAAATTCAAATGGCCACCTAGTTTTTATTTTTCTTCAACCTTAGCTGAAAAAGGTAACCACTCTGTTACTGCTTCTAATTACAAAGTAATTGATTCAGAACAATTCTCTGTAAAAATTTTCTAAAACCAAAATAAAGCAATTATGACTTTTGTATGCTTTAAATTGGTGAATAAATGTAAATGTCTATCTCTGCCTAACATGAAAAAAGTCTTATATATAAAATGTGGCAAATTTTCTGACTATAGCAAAGCTGCTAAGTAGCACAACTCCAGAGTATCCCTTAAAACATAAGAGATAATAGCACTCTATGGACCCACACAGTGGATAGTGTATACAGTTGCATGCAGTGGCCCAGTATAAAGCAAAATCAAACAAAATGTTATGTTGAAGCATTTTCTCAAGTATTTTTATTGTCCTCAGAGGACTGTAACCTAGGACTTTTAACTATAAAAAGCTGTAGCTGTATGATTCAGGGATATAACTACAGAAAATCGCCACAGCTATAAAAACTTCCTAGGCTATCTGCTTAGCACACACTGGTGACTCCAAAGGGGGCACCCTAATTATATAGATAGTACCTAAACTACTCTGAACCTCACGAGCCACAACTACTGAGCCCACGCACCACAACTACTGAAGCCTGCGCACCCTAGAGCCCATGCTCTGCAACAAGAGAAGCCACCGCAATGAGAAGCCCGCGCACCACAACAAAGAGTAGCTCCTGCTCGATGCAACTAGAGAAAGCCCACGTGCATAACTGAATCACTTTGTTGTACACCTGAAACTATCAACTATATGTTGATAGTTTGATCAACAAACTATCAACACTGCTAATCAACTATACTCCAATATAAAATAAAAGTTAAGAAAATGCATACCTTAACTAAATATAAGAAGGTAAACTGAACTCACATTTTATTCTTTTACAGTTAGAGAAAAACAATATGATATATAGTTTTCTCTTAAATGTTAAAGGGCTTAGAAATTATAGTCAGTCCTACCTTCAGTTTGAATTCAAGCTGCGGCATGACAGATAATAATAAATGAGGATCTATAGCAAAAAGTTCCTGAATCAGATCAAATACATGTTCTGACAAATCACTTACTGATGATCTTCCCAGCACCAGGACTTGATTGAAAAACTATAGGAGATAAACACAAAAATAAAATATCCGTTTCATTTAAAAACTTGGATAGGCTTTTTATAAACATGTTAAAAGAAAACGATATAATTAGGCATTCCATATAAAAGTGAAGGTGGTGAAAAAGAACAGATGTTTAAATTACTAATATATATGATAGGACAGTCCACCAAAACAGAAGAAATAAACCTCTAAATATCATCAAATTATGAATGTTACATGAAAGAGATAAAAAGTAACTGAGTTGTTAGCTTTCTTTCAAATTAGGATGACAATTTTTAGGAATCTTAACTTTCATTAAAACAAAACAATTTAGATAGTTTATGTAATTCATTATAGAGAATTTTATAGAGAAATTTCCTTTTATAGCACAGAAAAATTTTTAAAGTCTCAATCTTTTGGATTTTTATTTAAGCCTGAGGATTCTCTCTATTAGTTTAGTAATAAAGAATAATTGAAGGTGGAGGATGAGTTATTTGTTTTTTTTAAACAAAAAAGTCAAAAACACTGTAACTCAGAGGACAAAGAGAAGGAAAATGTGATGATACAAAGGCTGATCATTTAAAAGAATTCTAGGAAAAAGAAACAAAGAGAATATAATATAAAAGCACAAATTAAAAGATACCTCCACTCCTTGCCAACACACATAAACTTAGAAAAAAAATTAAATGTAAAAATGCTACAGAGGCAGCTGTATGCAACTGATTTGAGCATATGTTTTTGGTAGTATCATCAAATGATGTATTTCTTTTGAAAAGCAACACACATTAAGAGTTAGAAAACATTAATATTTATTACACAGACCTTGAAAAGAGTAAGGAAAATAGTTTTAACAAAATTAAAAAGTACACATGCACACACAAATAAGCACAGAACACAAATTCTGAAAGGATACATGAAAATCTATTGGTGATGCCTATTTCTGAGAATTAAGAATAGGGTATTCAGGGTTTGAAGAGAGACAATTTTCACTGTATACCCTTTTGTACTACTTGAGAAAACTTTTTTTTTTTACCATGTTTACGTATTTATTTAGTAATATAAATAATACTAATAATTCATACCATTTAAATTAACAGACTCTCACTTGGGTTTTTATATGTAGAAAATAATTAAACGATAGATAAATGCTACAAAGATAGTTACTAAAGATAGTTACTAAAGATAGTTACTAAAGGAAAACACTGAAAAAAATCTAAATGCTAGGCAAGAGAGAAATGATTAGGTAAATTATATGTGAATTCAAAGGAACATTTATAGTCATTCTTATCATAAATAAAAAAATCAAAATATGGAAATACATATATAAATGAAGACAATTCAAAGTTTTATATAGTATATGAAAAAAATAGGTAGGAGTTTGAGCAAATGTTCAATAATGAAATTGCTACATTAAGGTAGTAGAATTATAATTTCTTTTTTTTCCAAATTACTTTATTGATTTTTTAAAGAACAAAAAGAAAACGAAAAAACTTCTATTCAATAAAGTAAAATAAAAAAAATTATTACTCTATAACAATTATTTAAGAGGGCAAACCAAAAAGGTTCAGAAGAATGGCCTAGAGACATGAAGAAGAAAATATATAGAGAGCCATAGATAAAGATGAAAGGAGAAAGTGAAAGAGATCAGCATATCCAGGAGATAAAAAGATAAATACAAAGGTAGTAGAAGAAAGAGTAGGAATTGTAAACAAATTTTCATAAAATAACATCCTCTCATCTTATGCCATTTAAAAATAATGTCTATAGCTTACAAAGTCATGCTGCATTTGGTTACATTTAGACATATCAGTTTTTTATATATTTCTTATAAAAAGATGAAACTGTTTACAGGCTAAATAAGCCTTTATGTGAAAGGTTTCAATAAATTAGTACAATGGATTAAGAACTATAGAATTATGAAAAAAAATATAGGCAGAAATACATACATTGGCAATGCATGCCTCAATAGTCTGGACTGTCCTTTTCAATAGGACTTTTGCGAGGTCAAAGGACTGTTTATTTAAGTTCTGAAACACAATAAAAATATGCAAAGTTACAAATGAATTAGTGAATTTATGATCTAGATAGCAACATTAGAACACCAAAGTCTTCAAGTCCACAAAATATGAAGCAAAAAATATAACTGAACTCCATTCAAGGTTTTACCCAATATCTGCTAGTCAAGTGGTCATAAATACAGAAGTTGCAAATAGCACAACCATGAATCAAAAACTAAAATACATTAGATAATTAGCCAAAAGCCCAACCCTATATTAAGTTTAATTTTACTAAACTCAAAATGGACTTAAGGTTTTTTGGTTTTGTTTGTTAACCAATTTGAACTGGCAATCACACCCATGCATCCTAAACAAATACACACACACACACACACACACACACACACACACGCACGCACGCACACACACACCCCTTTTGAACCCACTATCCTCAGTATTTCACCGTCTAATCAACGTCTGTTCTCAGCAAGAGTGGACCTGGTAAGTGTTTCTGGTAAAATTCTCAGTCAATTATGTTTTTAAAACGCTAAATACTGTCTTCACTCCTCAAGATTCCCAATGCATGGTAACAAATTAAAGGGTCTGAGGAAGCCTATAGAAAAGACATATATTTAATTTTTAAAAAGTTACTGAAAATGGAATTCTTGTGTTGAAGAGTACCCACTAACATCTCTACACGTTGCAGTTTTAGACCAACCTGAGATTCACTGACCATCATCTCGCACCTATCCCCAAAAAAGGCAAGGATATCCTATACTCTAGGTTAGTAGTCAGCAAACTTTTTATGCAAAGAGCCAGATGGTAAATAGTTTAGGCTTTATTAGCCAGCCATATGGTCACCACTGCAACTACACAACTCTGGCTGTTGTAGCAGGAAGCAACCACAGACAAAATGAAAACAAATAAGCATGGCTGTGTTCAAATAAAACTTTTACATAAATAGGCAGTGGGTCAGATTTGGTCTACAAACTGTAGCTTCCTGACACTTGCTCCAGGTTTTTATTCCATTGGCAAGAGGATAAGATTATCTCAAAATTAAGGCAACCTTGGAGGAAACAAATAGGTGAGGGAGATTAAGATACAAACTACCACGTGAAAAATCAATGAGTCACAGATATGAAATGTACAGAGTGAGGAACATAAGTCAATAACTATGTAATATCTTTATATGCTGATATATTGTAACTAGATTTAGGTGAGCATTTTGAAACGTATAGAAATATTGTGTAACAGGAATTAACATAGTGTTATGTAGGTCAGTTATAAAAAAAGAGATCAGATTTGTAGTTATGGTGGGGGTGGGGGGGCAGAATTGGATGAAGGCATTCAAAAGGTACTTCCAGCTATGAGGTAATAAGCACTAGGGATATAATGTACAACATGATAAATCTAATTAACACTGCTATATGTTATATATGAAACTTGTTAAGAGAGTAAATCCTAAGACTTATTTCATCCACAAGAAAAAAATTTTTTCCTATTTCTTTAATGTTATGAGATGATGGATGTTCACTAAACATTTCATAGTGTTTAAATTAAATGAAATAAATCATTTCATAATATAAGTCAAGTCATTATGCTGTATACCTTAAACTTATACAGTGCTGTATGTCACTTATAACTCGATAAAACTGGAAGAAAAAAATTAAGGCAACCTTTCTATTTCCTAAAAAGGTATATTTCCTACTCATTAAAAATAACCTCTAACTAGAATACAAACACCAAATACACTATTCCTCAAAAAGTTTTTCCTTTATTTTGCCTGACATATACTCCCCCTATGCCATACTCTCAAAATTTTGACCAATTACAGACTCATTTGAATTAAAAAACTGCAAATAATATATAGTAAGGAGAAAAATTTATAATTGACTGTATCTTATTGTGAATAAGTATCATTAGATACATCTTCATTTAACATCTGATAATAGGTCACTGAACAGTCAGAGGAAAAGGGCAGAAGAGTAAATATCAATAGTGGGGTAGGCCTGAGTCCACCCCAGAGGGGGAGCTGGTGGGGAGCTAAGTCCTTCAGTTTCTTAGGGGGAGCTAGCAGAGAGAAACAGAAAAGGAAATGGAGAGGAATATACAGCTCTGAATCATCCTTTTCCCCTTAACATTAACCATACAGTTCCCACTTCTGCCTAAATCTTTTTCTGAAAGTGCCTAAGAAAAATGTAGGACATTGGTTCTGAGAAGAAATACAAATTCCTACACTCTACATCTATGTTACAAAGGAATAAATACATTTTCTTTTCCAAAACAAACAAACAGCAACTAAGCAAGACAGTACTCCAATCCCTTGTAATTTCTAGATTAGATATGAGTGGTCAATCAATCTGGAACATTTTTAGTTTTCCAGAGAATAGGCAGCACTTAACTGAATGAAAATCTTCCATAATATATTAATCAATATATCTTCTAAAGATAACAATAGCTATAAGACCAATATGTGTTACTCTATTTTATTTGGGGCTGGAGAATGATAATGGGAATAATTACATGGGATTGCAAATGGTGAAAAACAATTATTTTTCATATGTGTAGTACTACCATTAAATATTAATCTTTAATACCTTCATACTATACAGACCTTATGTGCAGGAATGAGGTTAATAAGAATGGAGTCCAATAATTCTTGAGTAACTCCATCACCTTCCATGATGATAGAACTCATCAAATCTAGCATGTGCATTTGTACCTTCTTATTGTGGCTATTGCTTTAAAAAAAGAGGAAGAAAAAAAGAAAAAAAAATTAGGCTTACAAAAGAAAATTAAACTTCCCAGTTTAAAACATCTCAAATGTAAAAGGATTTTCACCTGATTGAGGGAACCATGCCAGTAATGGCAGAGAAACTTTGGCTGCTCTATATTTACTTTCTCCCTTTGTTGATTATTAAAACAGCTACTAAGATATCATTGTAAAGTATTTTACAAAAACAAAAACCTTTAAATTTAATTAAGCCCCTATACAATTAGAATTCAAAGAGTGAGTTAAATTCAACTAAACAAAAATGTCAACTTCAAAGAAAGGACATCTTTGCTTACATGCCCCTGGATTTTAAAAGGTGATAAAATTTTAAGTAAGGAAACAAAAAAAATGTACAAGATAATGAAGGTAGGCAGTTTTTCATCCTTTTTATCCTTTTTGATCTTAATAATTCCTCCAAATAAGGCAGAACTATAAACACACAAAAAAGCCTAAGTCAACACTTCTATATCTTTGCCGCTGGACTTTTTAGTTCAACAATACTGAAAACCCGAAGTATGATATAAAATGCTTACCAGAACTTATTAACTAGAAGGTTCTGAAAACGTCATCCTGCTATCTCTCAAAGAATTTCAAACGAATGAAAAATCAATGAGGTAAAAAGCCAAGAATCAGTTTCAGTCCTGCTTCCTTAGCCAGTATAGAGTCAATGTGGGCCTCCTCAATAAATATCTCTGCTGCTGATACAAACTTACCCAAAATTGTTATAAATTAGTAGAGCATCTAGGTTTCTCCCTCTCTGACTACATCTTAACTAAAGACTTGACCTATCCATTTTCACATTTATCAGAATACATATGCAAAGACAAATCAAGATAATATAACTTAGTTGTACTACTACAGGCACAGGGAAGTTTAAATTAAGACTAAACTAAATGTTATTTCATTTATGTATTTCTTACCTATAATTTTTAAAAAATTAGTTTGAAATAATACACCTGTTGGACATTTAGTTGTAAAATCAAAGATGAAAAAATTTATAAAGTTGGTAGAATAATTGTCCCATCGTTAGAGACACAGTTTTCTACAAGGTAGAAAAATACGCCTTTTAGAAAGATACCCCTCTTGCATATCCTCTCTTAAATATCTTGTTTACTATAGGCCAAGATTGTGAAAGATCAATTATATAGTGGGATGTGTGTGTGTGATAGGGGGTGAAGAACAGATATTCAGCTTGATGCAAAAGAATGAAGAGAGTATATAGCTCTCAGATCCATATGCACTTGAGGATAGGAAAGGAGTGAAGGAAAGATAAATGAAAAATGGACTTAAAAATTATTTCCACAAGTTCCAGCCCAAGCTTCAATAATAGGGGTAAGATTTACTCTCCTACTTGAACAAGTAAAAAACTGGACAAAATATAAGAAATAACAGTTTTCATATATCAGACATTATACACATGCTGCTGAAAGAAGGGAACAATTTTCCCAGCTTACTTTTCCTACTTGGTAAAGTTTCCAGGCTTCAGTGTGGGAAGAGAAGATACTAGCAGAGCCTAATGGTTTTCCTGAGTCTGGGGTGACTATAGCTTGCAGGGCAGAATACCAGACGGGAGAGAGCTACTCAGAGAGCAAGCTCACAGAGGGTACTCCCCTCCCCGAGTCTTCAGGTGCTTAGTGATTAGCACATGCAAGTGAGGAAATTTCTTGAGTTTGGGGAAGGTACCACCTGAAAGGAGTGGAGGGAGTAATTCCCGGAATTCACACAGGTCTTAACAATGTGCATGTTCCAACTACAGTGGAAAATCTTACAACTCACAGGGCATCTAATAGAGTAATCAGAAGGGTAAACCCACATATCCTCTATGAGCTCCATCCACAATGGGACATCAAAATCAAACTGTTTAAAACTAGTAATACAGAGAAAACCTTAGGTGGGTAGAGAAAAAGAAGATACATTATTTACAGAGGAACAAAGATTTAAAATGACAAAACTTATCATTAGAAACAATGCAAGCCAGAAAAAGATGCAGGAAACATCTTTAACAGTACTGAAAGAGAAAAAAGCAAGTCTATTAACCTGAAATTCATACCATGAAAATAACTTTCAAAAATGAAGGTGGAATAAAAGACTTTTTCAGACATATAAAAACTGAAAGAATTCTATCAACAGCAGCCCTGAACTATAGGAAATGTTAAAGGAAGCCCTTCAGAGTAAAGTAAAATAATACCAGATGGAAATCTGCATATATGCGAAGGAATGAAGAATACCAGATATATGGTAAATGTGTCAGTAAATACAAATCAATAAACTCCTCTATCAAAAGGCAAGTCCTTTATTTACTGATACCTCATTGTGAATTCTTTCAATTAGATAATTAGGTCAACAATAAACTTAGATCTTCAGAGTCAGTAAAGAAAAATATTGATAGGATTATATGTAAAAGTAATAGAGGAAAGAAGTATAACTGCAGAGTGGGAAGCAGAATTAAGTGGATAACCAAGGTCACAAAATGGGCAGAATGACAAGTCAGGCATTTTTTTTTCATTTTGTTGGTGATTTTAATATTAAAAGAAAAAACTGCAAATATGTGGCAGAATGCAAACAATGGCCACAAACTGTTCCCATCTTGTATGCAGAAGCCTTTAAAACGCTACTCTGTCCAACAAAATATGGAGTCTATCTAACCAACCTTTGAATCTGGGCTTGCCTATGGACCTTGCTTGGCCAATGAAATATAAGTAAACATAAAGTGTGCAGAGAGGTCTTAAAAAGTGCTTGTGTGGTGGGGTGTGCCCTTCTTGCTACATGTGAAACCCAGTCAGCATAAGAGGTCTGAACTAGCCTGCTGGATGACAAGAGAGTGACACGTGACCCAGTTGTCCTATTACCTCAGCCAACTGCCAGATGCCCTGCTAACTGACTGCAAATACAGGAGCAAGTGCAGCCCAGAGAGAAAGAACTGACAAGCAGAATCATGAGCAAAATAAAATGGAATCTGTTTTAAACTACCAAGTTGTGGGTTACTTTGTTATGCAGCAAAAGCTAAGTAACACAAAGGTAAAGTTTATACATTTTATCTTTTATTTAAGGGCCTTCAGTTAGTTGCCACAGGAAGCTTTTTCTCATGCAGTTTTTTTATAAGCTTCTATCACTAGACCAGGTTGGTCCAGTCCTTTCCTGTTTATTCCAGGTTAATTCTCTTCCTACCATTCTAAGGAAAAGAAAAACATGTTAAAGTATTCATAAGAAATCTACAGAAAACTTTAGAAATGTGCTGTCCAATACAGAAGCTGTTATCCAACAGCCATTTGGCTATTGAAGATAAAGTCTGAATAAAGCCTTATGATGAAATAATAATGCTTTTGGACAACATGAAATAAAGTATATTATTATTATTATATATATATATATATTTTTTTTTTTTTTTGCGGTACGCGGGC